ACACACAACACACACCACACACACACATACACACACACACACACACACACACACACACACACACACAGGAGGGTCAGGGGAGACATGATAACGACATATAAAATACTGCGTGGAATAGACAAGGTGGACAAGGACAGGATGTTCCAGGGAGGGGACACAGAAACAAGAGGCCACAATTGGAAGTTGAAGACACAAATGAGTCAGAGAGATAGTAGGAAGTATTTCTTCAGTCATAGAGTTGTAAGGCAGTGGAATAGCCTAGAAAATGACGTAGTGGAGGCAGGAACCATACACAGTTTTAAGACGAGGTTTGATAAAGCTCATGGAGCGGGGAGAGAGAGGGTCTAGTAGCAACCGGTGAAGAGGCGGGGCCAGGAGCTAGGACTCGACCCCTGCAACCACAAATAGGTGAGTACACACACTCCGAAGTGTCCCTGTTTGCAGATGACGTGAAGTTGGTGAGAATAATTCATTCGATCTAAGACCAGGCAGAGCTACAAAGGGATCTGGACAGGCTGCAGACCTGGTCCAGCAATTGGCTTCTGGAGTTCAACCCCACCAAGTGCAAAGTCATGAAGATTGGGGAAGGGCAAAGAAGACCGCAGACAGAATACAGTCTAGGGGGCCAGAGACTACAAACCTCACTCAAGGAAAGATCTTGGGGTGAGTATAACACCAGGCACATCTCCTGAAGCGCACATCAACCAAATAACTGCTGCTGCATATGGGCACCTAGCAAACCTCAGAACAGCATTCCGACATCTTAATAAGGAATCGTTCAGGACCCTGTACACCGTGTATATTAGGCCCATATTGGAGTATGCAGCACCAGTCTGGAACCCACACCTAGCCAAGCACGTAAAGAAACTAGAGAAAGTGCAAAAGTTTGCAGCAAGACTAGTCCCAGAGTTAAGAGGTATGTCCTACGAGGAGAGGTTAAGGGAAATCAACCTGACGACACTGGAGGACAGGAGAGATACCTGGAGTTTACCTGGAGAGAGTTCCAGGGGTCAACGCCCACGCGGCCTGGTCTGTGACCAGGCCTCCTGGTGGATCAGAGCCTGATCAACCAGGCTGTTGCTGCTGGCTGCACGCAAACCAACGTACGAGCCACAGCCCGGCTGGTCAGGAACCGACTTTAGGTGCTTGTCCAGTGCAAGCTTGAAGACTGCCAGGGGTCTGTTGGTAATCCCCCTTATGTATGCTGGGAGGCAGTTGAACAGTCTCGGGCCCCTGACACTTATTGTATGGTCTCAACGTGCTAGTGACACCCCTGCTTTTCATTGGGGGGATGGTGCATCGTCTTCCAAGTCTTTTGCTTTCGTAGTGAGTGATTTTCGTGTGCAAGTTCGGTACTAGTCCCTCTAGGATTTTCCAGGTGTATATAATCATGTATCTCTCCCGCCTGCGTTTCAGGGAATACAGGTTTAGGAACCTCAAGCGCTCCCAGTAATTGAGGTGTTTTTTCTCCGTTATGCGCGCTGTGAAGGTTCTCTGTACATTTTCTAGGTCAGCAATTTCACCTGCCTTGAAAGGTGCTGTTAGTGTGCAGCAATATTCCAGCCTAGATAGAACAAGTGACCTGAAGAGTGTCATCATGGGCTTGGCCTCCCTAGTTTTGAAGGTTCTCATTATCCATCCTGCCATTTTTCTAGCAGATGCGATTGATACAATGTTATGGTCCTTGAAGGTGAGATCCTCCGACATGATCACTCCCAGGTCTTTGACGTTGGTGTTTCGCTCTATTTTGTGGCCAGAATTTGTTTTGTACTCTGATGAAGATTTAATTTCCTCTATGAAGAAATACTTCCTAACATCCCTTTGACTCATCTGAATCTTCAATTTCCAATTGTGACCTCTTGTTTCTGTGTCCTATCTCTGGAACATCTTGTCTCTGTCCACCTTATCTATTCCTCGCAGTATTTTGTATGTCATTATCATGTCACCCTAACCCTCCTGTCCTTCAGTGTCATCAGGCCGATTTCCGTTAACCTTTCTTCGTAGAACATTCCCCTTAGCTCTGGAACTAGCCTTGATGCAAACTTTTGCACTTTCTCTAATTTCTTGACGTGCTTGACCAGGTGTGGGTTCCAAACTGGTCCTGCATACTCCAGCATGGGCCTGACGGACACGGTGTACAGAGTTTTGAACGATTCCTTACTGAGGTATCAGAACGCTCTTCTCAGGTTTGCCAGGCGCCCATATGCTGCAGCAGTTATCAGGTTGTGTACTTCCGGGGACGTGCGCGGTATTATACTCACACCAAGATCTTTCTCCTTGAGTGAGGTTTGCAGTCTTTGGCTGCCTAGCCTGTGTGTGTGTGTGTGTGTGTGTACTCGCCTAATTGTGGTTGCAGGGGTCGAGACTCAGCTCCTAGCCCTGCCTCTTCACTGATCGCTACTAGGTCCTCTCTCTCTCTCTCTGCTTCCAGAGCTTTGTCATACCTCGTCTTAAAGCTATGTATGGTTCCTGCCTCCACTATATCACTTGTTAGGCTGTTCCACTTCCTGACGACTCTATGACTGAAGAAATACTTCCTAACATCCCTCTGACTCGTCTGAGTCTTCAGCTTCCAATTGTGACCCCTTGTTTCTCTGGAACAACCTGTCTCTGTCTACCTTATCTATTCCACGCAGTATTTTGTATGTCGTTATCATGTCTCCCCTGACCCGCCTGTGTAGTGTGAGTTCGTAGGAGATATGATGGTTGGAGTTAAACACACTTGTTGGATGGTTACACTTATATTAGCAGAGTATGAAGGGAGAGAGCCCAAACTGCCTGTCCTATCGCCTGCTTGGATTACCGGGAACTGAGAGCGATGTAGCGCATCCCACTCACTCATGTGGGATCATGTGACGTCATACAAACTAATCACTAGGCCTAGCAAAGGGGTCGTGTATGTATAACTTATGGATGGTACTATGATACACAGATATCATATACATTTACAGGGGATCAGCAACTATGCTGACACCTGTCCTCCAGTGTCGTCAGTCCGATTTCCCTCAACCTTTCTTCGTAGGACATACCCTTTAGCTCCGGAACTAGCCTTATTGCAAACCTTTGCACTTTCTCTAATTTCTTGACGTGTTTGACCAGGTGTGGGTTCCAAACTGGTTCTGCATACTCCAGTATGGGCCTGATGTACACAGTGTACAGTGTCTTGAACGATTCCTTACTAAGGTATCGGAACGCTATTCTCAGGTTTGCCAGGCACCCGTATGTTGCAGCAGTTATCTGGTTGATGTGTGCCTCCGGAGACATGCTCAGTGTTATGTTCACCCCAAGATCTTTCTCCTTGAGCGAGGTTTGCAGTCCTTGGCCACCTAGTCTATACTGTGTGTGTGTGTGTGTGTGTGTCATTACATTGTCACTAAATGTCAAAAAATCTGAATATTTGTATTTTCAGAAGACCCCCAGTATGCCACGGAAAATTCAGTTGCCAGGACCTCAGAAAAGAAAGATTTCCAAAGAATCAAGCGAAAGAAATGCTCCGGTCTTGGTAGACAAAATACCTTACAGAATTTTTCTCTGCTTCCGTAGTGGAAAAGATGAAAGGTACTAATGAAGAACCAGTACAACTACCAGATGATGTTTCTTCTGAGGACCCACCCGCATTCTCAAGTACATCTGCAGAAAATAAAAAGAACATACCAAATCAAGATAGTAAAGGCTATGAATCACCACGACCACATTCTACAGCTACTTGCGTAGACATGGACAGTGAAGCGCCACCATGTGATTCAGACCCAGCCATGTGGTTTCCTGTCAGAGAAAAGTATGTGTCCTTTTGGTCAACTGCCACCATAGATACCGAAAATGTGACACCAAAGATATAAATACACATAGGTAATTATTAGTGTAAATGTAATATATTACAAGCTAAAAATTATAGTCGGTTATTCTTAGTCAATAAAATTGAGAAAAATAAAATAAGACGTCTTCGAAACCTAAGCAGCGCTGTATAGCCCTTGTGACTTAGCGCTTCTTTTTGATTATAATAATAATAATAATTCGAAATCTAACATTTTGTTTTTTTTTCGAAAACTGCTGTTTATCATTCATTTTAATTCATTTCTGATTTGTAATTCAATTTAATTACCATGTTTAGGGCCCCCCAAACCTAAAGTGTCCCGGGCCCCCCACGATCTAAACCCGGCCCTAACCATCAGTCACATACATTTAAAACATTCTGGCGACCTCCTCAACCGCATGCGACGTATCAACATCAGAAACAAGAAGCTCTTCAGCCTAGACGTCACATCCCTATTTACTAAAGTAACAAGAGCACAGAGAACTTCGACTTCCCTATTCTCATCGAATTATGTGTTGCTTTTAACTGTTTCTCTATTGAAAATTGTTTCGACAGATTTCCGGTCTACCTATAGGGTCACCATTAAGCGATGTTCTAGCAAACCTATACTTGGAACATCTCGAAGTTGACAGACTCATCATCACTCATAAAAGATTCAACACACTCATCCAGGTCAAGCCCTACATCCAATTCACACGGCACTCTACCTCTACTGGTCCCTTTTCTAATTTCATCTCATTTATACGAACTCTTTGCTTTCTGTATCAACCATGCCTCTGTCCATGACAAAACTTTTCCTTCTTCATCATAAAGTTCCACCTTTGTCAACACTTTTGTGTGGTGCTGTCAAAGGCCTTACAGAAATCCAAATGAACAACATATTTCTCATCGCGGTCCACTGCCTCAAATGCTTTACCGAAAATAGTTCGTCATACCAGAACGGTCCCTTGTGAATCCTCGTCGAGGCTAAGTAATCAAATTATATTCACCAAGAAGGCTTATTATATCGGCTATAAGTGATAATGTTTGCTTTCTATCGACTTTAGGCTTATTGGGCAGTAATTTGATAGGAATTACATCAGGTATTTTTCATATCTCGGAATTTCACTTGCACTCTTTAAGTACCCTTGGAAACATTATGTGAATGATTTAGAAAAACGATAGGTTGGTGAATTAAACACGTGTGCAACATTTGGGTGTCGTTATTGTGGAAACGGTGGAGGATGAAGATGATGTGTTCAGTTTACCAGTCTTGATAGAAGTACAACATACGCTTATATGCTGGAGGCAGGCGAGGCAAAGCAGTTGGAGGCAGTCACTTGAAGAAAAATCCACTAGTGGAAGTAGGTCATGGGAATAGGTTAGACAAGCGTTGAATAAATCCCTGTATCAAGATGTTGCTGTCTTGTCTGTCTGACACAGCAACATTTATTTATGTTTATTTAGTAGTATGGAGATCAGAATTGTGCCGGAATCCAAATGAGATCAGAAATGTAGAATAACCTTCAGACTTTGTGAGAATAAGACATGCACAATCAAGACATTTATCTAAGGGGACGTTTCGCCACAAATGGATTTTTCACTTTTAATACGGAGACAGAAAAAAACCCCGACAGGTTAAGGTCACAAATCGGAAATGAGTAGGCCTCCAATCCTATCACCCTTGAAGACAGTTTTGGTTGAGCACAAGCATTCTGGGAAGCCTAGAGAAGCTACATCTCCTTGGTGCACGTTACTTTCTATTTTTCAGGTTGATGATTCAACAAATGTTTCAACTACGTTATAGGATGTCTTTATCAGCATCTTTACAAAGCTTTCATTGTGTTTTTGCGTTTGGCATATTCCAGCTCCTTAACATAATTAATATTTTTTATCTTTAATATTCTGACTTAATTCAGTGATCGGGGTTTCAATTTCATTGATGAAAGCAATTATGGCTTTTGACTAAGTATTATTATTACCCTATTTCAAATTTTTATGTAGCCAGGAATAGTGTAAATAAAAATTAATAAAAAATAATAAGTATTAACAGGATCTTATTACTGGGTGACAAGAGGTAAGATATATCATTCGTAATTAGAAAATTTCAGGGGTGAGCATTTAATTAAAGAATGAAATTTTTTCCTGTAACTTATGATTTAGAAATAAATTACCTGATATCAAATAAAGATGATGCACACTGCAGAATTACAGCCCTTTTTTTCTTATGAGAAAGGCGATTACCTCGACCACCACTCATTTTAGGCTTCAATTATATTTTTCCTTCATTCGCATAAAATATAATGTTTATATATAAAGATTACTCGAAGCAATGAAATTAGAGCTATTCTATATATACAGGCAAGACAATTTACAAAGTCATGCATACAACTAATGCTGTTTAATCAATATTTCACTACAAATATATAAACTTATCAATAGTTTCAAGTGTAATGAATTAATAATATATAGTACAATGTGTTCCATTACAAATAAAATGAACATTTATGTATACAAGGTTTTTACTGCAATGTTGCATGCAGTCCATGACCAAAACAAAACATATATACTGTGCATAAACTCTATGAGGAATTGTATATTTCCTCGTCATTAAGATTACTGAAGTTGCACCAGTAACAAAATTTACTTTCTTCAAACATTACAGCATAGATCAATGATCACTATACAGTAATTACTGTTGTACATTCGTGTATATTATAATATATAAGCAAATATTGTTTGAACCCCTTACACATCCTTATAACAAATAAGGTTTATTGAAAAAATAAAATAAATTCATCAGATCGCTCTCGGTCTCGGTCTTCAAGGGAAAAATAATGTGAAAGTACTGAATATGCGTTTAAGGCAGATTCCCATTCTCCTCCCATATCTTTCTTGTGGTGTCTGAAGATTGGTTCGTCATCTCTTCATCAGCTGTGGCAGCCTCACTATCCTCCAGAGCTAATTCTTTGATCTTCTGAGACAAAGCTTGAGAATGAGGACGGTAACTGGGGAATAAAAAGTTCGACAGTGAATACGGTAATATATCAATAATTTAAGAAAAAATGTTAGCAACTATATAATAGTATGTCAGTGCTGTCAGCTAGGCCTATATACCTTGTACGTACATGTACTTGTAGAAATAAAAGATATTACAGTAACTAATTCCAAATATGAATAGGTTTAAATTTTACCTGTAGTTTTTATATTAAAAACAAGCACTGAAACCGTATGGGTCACATTACGCAAAGTGTATCTTAATAAATTTCTTCCCAATTTGACACATTTTCTTCCAGTTACAGAGGAGCACTCAGCTTTATTCTCGCTGAACATTATAACATTCAGCCCACTTGAAAATTTGGTATACGTACATCGCCTTGGAAGACCGTGTCCTCAATGGATGCTGATCAGAGTAACATGCTCTACCCTACTAATGTTAGTGTTATCTACTAAGGAAGATCTACTACAATAATTTACTTTGTAGAAAGTCGAAACTAAATATACCCACTTTATTATATTGTTGCTATACAAAACTGACAAGTGTATGAATAAGACACATGCGAAACACTTGGGTATCTTAATTGCCTGGAGAGTGCTTCGGGGGTCAACGCCCCCTCGGCCCGGTCTGTGACCAGGCCTCATGGTGGATCAGGGCCTGATCAACCAGGCTGTTATTGCTGGCCGCACGCAATCCAACATACGAACCACAGCCCGGCTGGTCAGGTACTGACTTTAGGTGCTTGTCCAGTGCCTGCTTGAAGACAGCCAGGGGTCTACTGGTAATCCCCCTTATGTATGCTGGGAGGCAGTTGAACAGTGGAGAAGTTTCACCAATCAGTCGTTTCATTACCTCATTACAGAGAATAATTCTTGAGGTGGTGGAAAATATGAAATATTTTGAGGTGATCATTCCCTCAGCCTAAATAAATATGTTGAAGACTTTGGAAGACGTGAAGTAGTAGTCTGAGGTGTAAATCCCTCAGCCTTGAAAAGTGTTCAGCCCATCATCAAGACTGACGGACTGAAGGCCTTCTTTGAAGGAAGTGGGATTGATCACTTCCAACTAATTCTTCACGTCTTCCCTCGTCTCCAGCAGATTCAGCCATGCTGACAGACTGATTATCTTTTAACTGCTTCTTCGTGTCTTCCACCGCCCTCAGGATTATTCCCTGAATTGGATTTATAAAGTCACTCGTCAGAGTATACCACATTATCACTCTCCCTCACACTGATCATAACAACAGTCTTCCTCTCACTAATCCTGACCACAGTGCCACGCTCCCTCACACTGACCAGTGTCATTCTCACACTGACTACCATGCCACACTCCATGGTTTTTGTGCCCCACCACTGTACCACTGTAGGTAGAAGTCACTGTTAATTCCATAGTGAGGACAGTGACTATCCAGTCTATCCAAGACCCAAAAGTGATTAACATTTAAATTTTAAAGTTGTCCGTTTTTTCTTGGTTATCTTGTTGCCAGACTCACAACCGTTTCTTTTAATATGCATATATGTGGTTAACAATGCAAAACAAGCCAACTAGGGATGGAAATCTTCAGCTGAAAATATTTATCTTAGGTGGAACTCTTTCATTGAGCTAAAGATTTCCATTCCCACATGGATTGTTTGCACTGTTGAGATTATCTGTTTACGATGGCATTGCATTTGTGGTTAAATATAACCGGTTCGTGTACCATAACTTAACCCAACTTAAACTGACCTAAATTAATCTAACTTGTATAAATATAGTACATTAAGTCAAAAAATGATGTAGTAAACTGAGGTCAGGTGGTACTGTGTAATTTTAATTGGGTCATATCGAGTTAAAGGGCTCTTGATAACTTATAGTTTAAGCATACAATATTAAGTGGGTTTCGCAATGGATATCATTTTATGTTGTCCAAGTTTATATATATATATATATATATATATATATATATATATATATATATATATATATATATATATATATATATATATATATATATATGTTGCTGGTGTCTTTTTCTGTCTCATAAACACGCTAGATAACAGGGATATCTTGCTACTCCAACTTACACTTTGGTCACACTTCACAGACACGCACATGCATATATATATACATACATCTAGGTTTTTCTCCTTTTTCTACATAGCTCTTGTTCTTCTTTATTTCTTCTATTGTCCAAGGGGAAGTGGAAAAGAATCTTTCCTCCGTAAGCCATGCGTGTCGTATGAGGCGACTAAAATGCCGGGAGCAATGGGCTAGTAACCCCTTCTCCTGTAGACATTTACTAAAAAAGAGAAGAAGAAAAACTTTATAAAACTGGGATGCTTGAATGTGCGTGGATGTAGTGCAGATGACAAGAACAGATGATTGCTGATGTTATGAATGAAAAGAAGTTGGATGTCCTGGCCCTAAGCGAAACAAAGCTGAAAGGGGGTAGGGGAGTTTCGGTGGGGGAAATAAATGGGATTAAATCTGGAGTATCTGAGAGAGTTAGAGCAAAGGAAGGGGTAGCAGTAATGTTGAATGATCAGTTATGGAAGGAGAAAAGAGAATATGAATGTGTAAATGCAAGAATTATGTGGATTAAAGTAAAGGTTGGATGCGAGAAGTGGGTCATAATAAGCGTGTATGCACCTGGAAGAGAGGAATGCAGAGGAGAGAGAGAGATTTTGGGAGATGTTAAGTGAATGTATAGGAGCCTTTGAACCAAGTGAGAGAGTAATTGTGGTAGGGGACCTGAATGCTAAAGTAGGAGAAACTTTTAGAGAGGGTGTGGTAGGTAAATTTGGGGTGCCAGGTGTAAATGATAATGGGAAGCCCTTTGATTGAACTTTGTATAGAAAGGGGTTTAGTTATAGGTAATACATATTTTAAGAAAAAGAGGATAAATAAGTATACAAGATATGATGTAGGGCGAAATGACAGTAGTTTGTTAGATTATGTATTGGTAGATAAAAGACTGTTGAGTAGACTTCAGGATGTACATGTTTATAGAGGGGCCACAGATATATCAGATCACTTTCTAGTTGTAGCTACACTGAGAGTAAAAGGTAGATGGGATACAAGGAGAATAGAAGCATCAGGGAAGAGAGAGGTGAAGGTTTATAAACTAAAAGAGGAGGCAGTTAGGGAAAGATATAAACAGCTATTGGAGGATAGATGGGCTAATGAGAGCATAGGCAATGGGGTCGAAGAGGTATGGGATAGGTTTAAAAATGTAGTGTTAGAGTGTTCAGCACAAGTTTGTGGTTACAGGAAAGTGGGTGCGGGAGGGACGAGGAGCGATTGGTGGAATGATGATGTAAAGAGAGTAGTAAGGGAGAAAAAGTTAGCATATGAGAAGTTTTTACAAAGTAGAAGTGATGCAAGGAGGGAAGAGTATATGGAGAAAAAGAGAGAGGTTAAGAGAGTGGTGAAGCAATGTAAAAAGAGAGCAAATAAGAGAGTGGGTGAGATGTTATCAACAAATTTTGTTGAAAATAAGAAAAAGTTTTGGAGTGAGATTAACAAGTTAAGGAAGCCTAGAGAACAAATGGATTTGTCAATTAAAAATAGGAGAGGAGAGTTATTAAATGGAGAGTTAGAGGTATTGGGAAGATGGAGGGAATATTTTGAGGAATTGTTAAATGTTGATGAAGATAGGGAAGCTGTGATTTCGTGTATAGGGCAAGGAGGAATAACATCTTGTAGGAGTGAGGAAGAGCCAGTTGTGAGTGTGGGGGAAGTTCGTGAGGCAGTAGGTAAAATGAAAGGGGGTAAGGCAGCCGGGATTGATGGGATAAAGATAGAAATGTTAAAAGCAGGTGGGGATATAGTTTTGGAGTGGTTGGTGCAATTATTTAATAAATGTATGGAAGAGGGTAAGGTACCTAGGGATTGACTCAAGAAATCGTAATGACACGATTGCAAATAAACCATACCCCCGGCCGGGATTGAACCCACGGTCATAGTGTCTCAAAACTCCAGCCCGGCCGGGGGTATGGTTTACCTAGGGATTGGCAGAGAGCATGCATAGTTCCTTTGTATAAAGGCAAAGGGGACAAAAGAGAGTGCAAAAATTATAGGGGGATAAGTCTGTTGAGTATACCTGGTAAAGTGTATGGTAGAGTTATTATTGAAAGAATTAAAAGTAAGACTGAGAATAGGATAGCAGATGAACAAGGAGGCTTTAGGAAAGGTAGGGGGTGTGTGGCCCAGGTGTTTACAGTGAAACATATAAGTGAACAGTATTTAGATAAGGCTAAAGAGGTCTTTGTGGCATTTATGGATTTGGAAAAGGCGTATGACAGGGTGGATAGGGGGGCAATGTGGCAGATGTTTGCAGGTGTATGGTGTAGGAGGTAGGTTACTGAAAGCAGTGAAGAGTTTTTACGAGGATAGTGAGGCTCAAGTTAGAGTACATAGGAAAGAGGGAAATTATTTCCCAGTAAAAGTAGGCCTTAGACAGGGATGTGTGATGTCACCGTGGTTGTTTAATATATTTATAGATGGGGTTGTAAGAGAAGTAAATGCGAGGGTCTTGACAAGAGGCGTGGAGTTAAAAGATAAGGAATCACACATAAAGATGGGAGTTGTCACAGTTGCTCTTTGCTGATGACACTGTGCTCTTGAGGAGATTCTGAAGAGAAGTTGCAGAGATTGGTGGATGAATTTGGTAGGGTGTGCAAAAGAAAATTAAAAGTGAATACAGGAAAGAGTAAGGTTATGAGGATAACAAAAAGATTAGGTGATGAAAGATTGGATATCAGATTGAGGGAGAGAGTATGGAGGAGGTGAATGTATTCAGATATTTGGGAGTGGACGTGTCAGCGGATGGGTCTATGAAAGATGAGGTGAATCATAGAATTGATGAGGGGAAAAGGGTGAGTGGTGCACTTAGGAGTCTGTGGAGACAGAACTTTGTCCTTGGAGGCAAAGAGGGGAATGTATGAGAGTATAGTTTTACCAAAGCTCTTATATGGGTGTGAAACATGGGTGATGAATGTTGCAGTGAGGAGAAGGCTGGAGGCAGTGGAGATGTCATGTCTGAGGGCAATTGTGTGGTGTGAATATAATGCAGAGAATTCGTAGTTTGGAAGTTAGGAGGAGGTGCGGGATTACCAAAACTGTTGTTCAGAGGGCTGAGGAAGGGTTGTTGAGGTGGTTCGGACATGTAGAGAGAATGGAGCGAAACAGAGTGATTTCAAGAGTGTATCAGTCTGTAGTGGAAGGAAGGCGGGGTAGGGGTCGGCCTAGGAAAGGTTGGAGGGAGGGGGTAAAGGAGGTTTTGTGTGCGAGGAGCTTGGACTTCCAGCAGGCATGCGTGAGCGTGTTTGATAGGAGTGAATGGAGACAAATGGCTTTTAATACTTGACGTGCTGTTGGAGTGTGAGCAAAGTAACATTTATGAAGGGGTTCAGGGAAACCAGCAGGCCGGACTTGAGTCCTGGAGATGGGAAGTACAGTGCATGCACTCTGAAGGAGGGGTGTTAATGTTGCAGTTTAAAAACTGTAGTGTAAAGCACCCTTCTGGCAAGACAGTGATGGAGTGAATGATGGTGAAAGTTTTTCTTTTTCGGGCCACCCTGCCTTGGTGGGAATCGGCAGTTGGAGGCAGTGTAGATGTCCTGTCTAAGGGCAATGTGTGGTGTAAATATTATGCAGAAAATTCGGAGTGTGGAAATTAGGAGAAGGTGTGGAGTTAATAAAAGCATTAGTCAGAGGGCAGAGGAGGGGTTGTTGAGGTGGTTTGGTCATTTAGAGAGAATGGATCATAGTAGAATGACATGGAAAGCATATAAATCTATAGGAGAAGGAAAGAGGGGTAGGGGTCGTCCTCGAAAGGGTTGGAAAGAGGGGGTAAAGGAGGTTTTGTGGGCGAGGGGCTTGGACTTCCAGCAAGCGTGCATGAGCGTGTTAGATAGAGTGAATGGAGACGAATGATACTTGGGACCTGACGATCTGTTGGAGTGTGAGCAGGGTAACATTTAGTGAAGGGATTCAGGGAAACCGGTTATTTTTATATAGTCGGACTTGAGTCCTGGAAATGGGAAGTACAATGCCTGCACTTTAAAGGAGGGGTTTGGGATATTGGCAGTTTGGAGGGATATGTTGTGTATCTTTATACTTATATGCTTCTAAACTGTTGTATTCTGAGCACCTCTGCAAAAGCAGTGATAATGTGTGTGTGGTGAAAGTGTTGAATGATGATGAAAGTATTTTCTTTTTGGGGATTTTCTTTCTTTTTTGGGTCACCCTGCCTCGGTGGGAGACGACCGACTTGTTGAAAAAAAAAAAAAATATATATATATATATATATATATATATGTATGTATATGTGTATATGTATGTATGTATGTATGTATATATATATATATATATATATATATATATATATAATATATATATATATATATATATAATATATATTTTTTTTTTTTTTTTTTTTTCAACAAGTCGGCCGTCTCCCACCGAGGCAGGGTGACCCAAAAAAGAAAGAAAATCCCCAAAATGAAAATACTTTCATCATCATTCAACATTTTCACCACACTCGCACATTATCACTGTTTTTGCAGAGGTGCTCAGAATACAACAGTCTAGAAGCATACACATATAAAGATACACAACATATCCCTCCAAACTGCCAATATCCCAAACCCCTCCTTTAAAGTGCAGGCATTGTACTTCCCATTTCCAGGACTCAAGTCCGACTATATGAAAATAACCGGTTTCCCTGAATCCCTTCACTAAATATTACCCTGCTCACACTCCAACAGATCGTCAGGTCCCAAGTACCATTCGTCTCCATTCACACCTATCTAACACGCTCACGCACGCTTGCTGGAAGTCCAAGCCCCTTGTCCACAAAACTTCCTTTACCCCCTCTCTCCAACCCTTTCGAGGACGACCCCTACCCCGCCTTCCTTCTCCTATAGATTTATATGCTTTCCATGTCATTCTACTTTGATCCATTCTCTCTAAATGACCAAACCACCTCAACAACCCCTCTTCTGCCCTCTGACTAATGCTTTTATTAACTCCACACCTTCTCCTAATTTCCACACTCCGAATTTTCTGCATAATATTTACACCACACATTGCCCTTAGACAGGACATCTCCACTGCCTCCAACCGCCGATTCCCACCAAGGCAGGGTGGCCCGAAAAAGAAAAACTTTCACCATCATTCACTCCATCACTGTCTTGCCAGAAGGGTGCTTTTCACTACAGTTTGCACGAGTATTTCTTAACCAGGGATATCAATACCCTTTGGGGTATGTGAACCAAATAATGGAGGTATGGGACTCGATCTCTGAAGAATTAAAAACAATTGTTAGATTTGAATAAACTATCACCTGTTCTGTTCCTAGCTATCCATATGTAAAGTAGAAACCAAGGTATTGACATCTTTCGAAGTCATACTGGTAACTAATATGGCCGGTGATGATTTTGACAGTCCGGCGAAGAGGGTATGACGACATACTGGGCAATCCATTGGGGGTTTGTAATCGTAAAAATGTTAAGAACCCCTGGTTTAGGTTAGGTTAGGCAAGGTTTGTCAGGAAACAGGTGTTTTCTGACGCGGGTCTTAGATGATGACCCGCCGTTGGAGCTTTTGGTCATCTGACTGAAGACTTCCGCTGGCTTACCGGTCCATCCCTTTAAAAATTATGGTCATAGTTATAACCATTTCTTTTTTCATTAACCCCCTCAAAAAGTAAGTTTAACCAAATAATTTTAATTCTAAGGGAAATATAGTATGTTTCAATTACTCCCCTCCTCTAAATATAACAATAATAATAATAGTAATAATAATAATGATAATAATAATAATGATAGTAATAATAATGATAGTAATATTAATGATAGTAATAATAATAATAATAATAATAATAATAATAATAATAATAATAATAATAATAATGATAGTAAAATAATAATGATAGTATTAATAATAATAATAATAATAATAATAATAATAATAATAATAATAATAATAATAATAATAAAATAATATTTTATACCAATTTGCACAAAAATTAATATTGTACACTGAAATATGCATTTTCAACAAACTTGGTGAAGCTCCTAAATCAGTTATTAATCCTAGTTATTCTGTTCATGAGAAACACTCAACCCATAAAGATTATACAGAGCGATGAGAAGCAATCATGTTTGATCACAGGAACGGAAGGGCAGCTCCAATTCCTTAGAAAAAGAGCCCTTCACCATCGTCAAGGGACTCTGAGACGGTGTATTATTTAAAATATTTTAAAACTGACTTGAAGACGAGCCTTGGCTTGATCTAATTATATTATGAGAGAAAATAGATATATGGTTTGGAAAAAGAAGTTTTTAACAACTGTGCTACTCACAAATATATTATTCACAGTGCTGCAATAAACCTATTTATTTTCAGCTTACTGATTAACATTACTTTTAACGGGAGCGCTGAACCTGTAAGGAATATACATAACCTGAGGGAATGTGAGGCATCATCAAGCACTGTTTTGTCAAATTTTCTATGATGTTGAAACTAAAATACTAAACCTGAAAGGACCCCAATGGAAATAAGTCACTCTGTCTGACTTTTTTGGATTATCCTAGGTTCTGTACACATATGCTGCTATTTATGGTAATTCTATGTAACTGTATTTGTGTATACTTGAATAAACTTACTGACTTAATTCACACCAACTTACTAGAAGTAATATCCGGCGCCAGTAAAGGCAGAAGTTACTGCACACACCCTAAGTGCTCTCTTGTTGTGGAACACCACCTTCTTCACCCGCTTCAGGAAGGAAATATTCCTCTCACTCATATTAGCAGGACTGAGAGCTCTTGTTAGGCAGCCAAGATGAAAGTTGGAGGAGGTTACCTCGCATCTCCCCGCCATCAGCGACACTGGACTGCCGGGAGGCAACTCACGCTTATGTATAACTTGTCTGTCTTTATCCGACACGAGGAAGCGCTAAACCCGTAGGGGTCATAGTGGAGACTGGGCATTGAGGGGAAAATAAAATCTAGTTTGATCAAAGAAAGTCGAGGTTGGCTCAGATTCCTTGGATCAAGTCATTCATCGTGATCAAAATATCCTCCGTGAAAGAAAAAAAAAAACGTTTTTTTCAACATTTTGAAAAAATAAATATATTTACCTAATTACTATTAAAATTTCATACTTACAGCATATTATTATAAAAAGATATTTACATATAATATATACTCAAGTATTCAGACCTTATTTATGCTTCTAAGTATGGTCATTATTATTTTTATTATTACAATTATATTTTTTCAACACCGGCCGTTTCCCACCGAGGCAGGGTGACCTAAAAAAGAAAAATAAGGTGTAATGTATATAGAATGTAATATATACAGAATGTATACAGAAAGGGTTACTAACTGTAATGCCGTATGGATCATACAGGTGGCACTAAGACAGCAGGACCTACCTGTACAAACACAGCAATTGTGTATTTAAAATAATGGCCAATATTATACAAATAAATAATGTATGGCTTAACACAATATTTTAATTAAAACCACAAGAGTGTAATAACCAACCTTTTGTAATGAAGCAAAGATAGTGTATTTCTTAATGTAGCATACCCTCATTAATGTAGCATACCCTCATTAATGTAGCATACCCTCATTAATGTGGTACACCCTCATTAATGTAGCATACCCTCATTAATGTAGCATACCCTCATTAATGTGGTATACCCTCATTAATGTGGTATACCCTCATTAATGTGGTATACCCTCATTAATGTAGCATACCCTCATTAATGTGGTATACCCTCATTAATGTAGCATACCCTCATTAATGTAGCATACCCTCATTAATGTGGTATACCCTCATTAATGTGGTATACCCTCATTAATGTAACATACCCTCATTAATGTGGTATACCCTCATTAATGTAGCATACCCTCATTAATGTAGCATACCCTCATTAATGTGGTATACCCTCATTAATGTAGCATACCCTCATTAATGTAGCATACCCTCATTAATGTAGCATACTCTCATTAATGTGGTATACCCTCATTAATGTAACATACCCTCATTAATGTGGTATACCCTCATTAATGTAGCATACCCTCATTAATGTAGCATACCCTCATTAATGTGGTATACCCTCATTAATGTGGTATACCCTCATTAATGTAGCATACCCTCATTAATGTAGCATACCCTCATTAATGTAGCATACCCTCATTAATGTAGCATATCCTCATTAATGTGGTATACCCTCATTAATGTAGCATACCCTCATTAATGTAACATACCCTAATTAATGTAGCATACCCTCATTAATGTGGTATACCCTCATTAATGTAGCATACCCTCATTAATGCAACATACCCTCATTAATGTAGCATACTCTCATTAATGTGGTATACCCTCATTAATGTGGTATACCCTCAATAATGTGGCATACCCTCATTAATGTGGCATACCCTCATTAATGTAGCATTCCCTCATTAATGTGGTATACTCTCATTAATGTAGCATACCCTCATTAATATAGCATACCCTCATTAATGTAGCATACCCTCATTAATGTAGCATACCCTCATTAATGTGGTATACCCTCATTAATGTGGTATACCCTCATTGATGTAGCATACCCTCATTAATGTGGTATACCCTCATTAATGTAACATACCCTCATTAATGTAGCATACCCTCATTAATGTAGCATACCCTCATTAATGCAGCATACCCTCATTAATGTAGCATACCCTCATTAATGTAGCATACCCTCTAATGTAGCATACTCTCATTAATGTAACATACCCTCATTAATGTAGCATACCCTCATTAATGTAACATACCCTCATTAATGTAGCATACCCTCATTAATGTGGTATACCCTCATTAATGTGGTATACCCTCATTAATGTAACATACCCTCATTAATGTAGCATACCCTCATTAATGTGGTATACCCTCATTAATGTAACATACCCTCATTAATGTAACATACCCTCATTAATGTAGCATACCCTCATTAATGTAGCATACCCTCATTAATGTGGTATACCCTCATTAATGTAACATACCCTCATTAATGTAGCATACCCTCATTAATGTGGTATACCCTCATTAATGTAGCATACCCTCATTAATGTAGCATACCCTCATTAATGTGGTAAACCCTCATTAATGTAACATACCCTCATTAATGTAGCATACCCTCATTAATGTAGCATACCCTCATTAATGTAGCATACCCTCATTACTGTACCATGCCCTCATTAATGTAACATACCCTCATTAATGTAGCATACCCTCATTAATGTAACATACCCTCATTAATGTAGCATACCCTCATTAATGTAGTATACCCTCATTAATGTAGCATACCCTCATTAATGTAACATACCCTCATTAATGTAGCATACCCTCATTAATGTAGCATACCCTCATTAATGTAGCATACCCTCATTAATGTAACCTACCCTCATTACTGTACCATGCCCTCATTAATGTAACATACCCTCATTAATGTAGCATACCCTCATTAATGTAACATACCCTCATTAATGTAGCATACCCTCATTAATGTAGCATACCCTCATTAATGTAGCATACCCTCATTAATGTAACATACCCTCATTAATGTAGCATACCCTCATTAATGTAGCATACCCTCATTAATGTAATATACCCTCGTTAATGTAGCATACCCTCATTAATGTGGCATACCCTCATTGGTGTGGCATACCCTCATTAATGTGGCATACCCTCATTCATGTGGCATACCCTCATTAATGTGGCATACCCTCATTAATGTAGCTTACTCTTGTTAATGTGGCATACCCTCATTAATGTGGCATGCCCTCATTAATGTAGCATACCCTCATTAATGTGGCATACCCTCATTAATATAGCATACCCTTGTTAATGTGGCATACCCTCATTAATGTGGCATGCCCTCATTAATATAGCATACTCTCAATATGGCATGCCCTCATTAATGTAACACCCTCATTAATGTAGCATACCCTCATTCATGTGGCATACTTTCATTAATGTAGCATGCCGTCATTAATGTAGCATAACCTCATGCAAACATTGTAAGTGAACAATTGATTACTATTAAATTTCTCCTGTTTTCTTTTTATTTCTTTAGCTGCTTTCATAAACGCTCAATTCCTTTCTCAGTTTGAATTTTTGTAAACATTCTCTATCGAGATCAGCAAGTTTATCTTAAGAAAAAACGTTTACAACTGGAACAAATTTTTAGATTCCGAGCATATTAGTATCACAATCTCACTTTTGTTATGATTTTATTTTGTTTTATTTTGGTATTTCATTTTTTACTTTACTTTTTATGCTGTTAGTACTGTATTTTATACTGTAAGGTTTAGGATAAACACTGTACTACACAGTTTATTTCCCAGTAATTTGGCATAAAAAACATGGTCGTAAGTCGAGTGGTCATACGTCGAGCAGGTCGTAAGTCGGATGGTAGGTGTACAGCACATTCATTAATTACCTTAAAATATTTTTAGTCTTAATGTAGGGTGAGAGGTGAGTTTTATTTGTAGGAAGTCAGGTTTGGGAAGTATGGGCAACCAGCCAGGGAAGTCCTCCCCACCTCATCCACACGTAATGTAAACAAACCAGGCGGACTCACCTGGTTTTCGTCACTTTACGTTGTGTACAAGTTGTCTCCACGTTGATACAGTAGAATAAATAAAGAGAAACACTCCCATTTTCATGTAACATTATTTTTAGAAGAAATGGCGCCTCGAGTGAAGGCATACTTAGGTACAGGTACACAAATGTATAATCATCAGTTATAATAATATAGGGATGTAGTCCGCCTGGGCTACATAGCTACACGATATTTAATATAGCCCAGAGCCATATTATTACCATCAACATACAATGTTCACTGAGTTTAATCATTTGTAACAACTACCTTTAGATGCCATCATAAACAAAGGGAGAGGTAATGAATTCAAGCCGAGAATTGTAAACAAAAGCGTTATGTATTAAGGGGAGTGACATAATGTTTTCCCTCCGCCTGGCTACCACACCTCCATAGTATATAAGCATAAAATCTTTATATGCTATGTAACGTGTTTCTTATATAATTCTGAAGAAAATATCATAGATGGATTAATGAAAATGCCTATTAATGTAAAATAAGACATTTAATGTGCCTAAGTGATTATTATTAGTATTACGTAATGTTTTTCTTCCACCTGGCAACAACCCCTCCATAGCATATAAACAGCATGTTTATATGCTATGTAACATGTTTCTTATATAATTTTGAAGAAAATATCATAGATGAATTAATGAAAATGTCTATACTGACGTAAAATTAGACATTTAATGTGCCCAAGAGTGATTATTATTACATAATAGAGATGTGCTCGTAGAGAATGTAAACAAACCAGGTGGCATGCACCGTATTTGAAAGAGCACTTGCCGTATAAAAAGTTTTGGTCATAATTTGAGATCGCCGTATTAGCAGAATGCCGTAAGGCGAAATGCCAAAAAGCGGGGCCCTACTGTACATATCTTTTACAGTTCTTTTATTTGCTTACTTATTTTAGGGATAAGGTTAACAGATAAAACACCAATCTTTCTTGATAAATGTTTTAAAACTTTAATTTTCTATCAGTTTATAATAAATAAAATTTATATATTAAAAAAATCCTTCCAAATAAACTATTATGTATACCCTATATACAATTTCCTGAGCTAAATATATATTAAGTTCAAAGCATATAAACACAAAACTAGTGCAGACATACAAACAGCACACGAAGAAGTATCATCATCTAAAGATATTAAGACAACGATACTAGGTTCTATTAACATTGTATCAAATACTTTATCAATCTTTAATATTCTTAAGCAATATAAATTTAAAAACCCTATGAAATATGTATGCTAAAAGTTAGCT